TGAGTACTCGTACTCGCCCAAATGCTCCGATACCTAGCACGAGTACTTCCTGTATCAGGAAGCTGGGCAGCTCGTCATTACACGCTGCCCGTTTTCCTTATTGGCTGGGAAACTGCTCCATGCTCTCTCGTCACTTGTGATGAGAGAGCAAGGAGCCGACTTCCCGGAAAATCAGGAAGCCGGGTAGCGTGTAATGACGCGTTTTCCGATTGGTCAGAAAGCTAGCCAATCCGGAAGCCGGGTGCCTTGTAATGACGCAGCGCCCGGCATTCTGATTGGCCGGTAAGCCGGCGTCATGCTCCCTCATCATCTCATGAATCATATTAGGAACTGACCTAAAATCATTAGTTTGTATTGCTTTAGAAAAAATGTGACCTGGTCCTTTAAGAAAAAGTATCGGTAATTGGTATTGGTGAGTACTTGATCAAAAGTATCGGTACTCGTACTCGGTCTTAAAAAAGTGGTATCGGTGCATCCCTAATCATAAGGGGAGGGGTAGGGTGATCCGGGAAAAAGTCAAACTCCAGCCATAACTTTTCTTTTTTGGATAGACTTTGGAAGAGTAAATATTTTACCAAGTTCTTATTGTTGTGTAATATAGCCAATAGGAGCATCAAAGCCATGTTTTAAGAGTGCAAAGTATTTTATTGATTACACAGCAAAGTAACAGGAAGGCAATGCATTATGGGGGCTAGGCAAGCCACCTTCATCAGGACTACAAGACACATAAAAAAAGAAACTTTGCTAAGCAATAATAAGCAATAATTTATTTATTTTTACACTTTCTTTGCTTTACTCTATGACATAGAAAGGCATGCATTACGTGTCAGGAGGAATGACATATTGTATCAATGTGCAGTAAGGGTACCAACCAAATTGTCAATGTCTGTATACCTGCATGTCTTTGGTATTTCATAGTGTAAAGCCAAGAAATCATGAAAAGAGATACATTTTTGCTTTTTCTATGAAGATACTCTAAAATGGTCGGGGAGGATTTATTGGTACCACTAGACAATGTTATATATGATTGGATCATAGTGATATTTCAAACTGTTTTCTGTAATTAGTATCACACATCTTCAATCTTTCGGACTAGTTACATGGAGAAAAGTAGCCACTCTGCTGTTTGGTGTCATTGTGTGCACCACACTGAACATGAGAGAAATAAATCAAAAGAGAGAATTGTCTTAGAACATCAGAAAGCGAATAATAGACCAGCATGTCAGAGATAAAAGCTGTACGACCATCTTCAAACATTTTGATGTTCCTGTGACTGCAGTAGCAAATGTTGTTAAGAATTGAAGAAGGTACATAGGAGTGTAGGCAACCTCCCTGGATATGGCCACAAGGACTGGTAGACAAAAAGCCAAAAGAAAAAATTCTAAAGCTGAACTCCAAGGTCAAGGTACATCAGAGTCTGATCACACCATCTGTCACTTTTGAGCAACAAGGAATAAGACCCAGGAGGACTCCACAGTTGAAAGAAAACCATAAAAAATCCAGACTGGAATTTGCTAAATTGCACATTGACATATCACAATGCTTCTGGGAGAATATCCTTTGGAAAGATGAGACAAAACTGGAGCTTTTTGGCAAGTCACTACATTTTTTTCTACGAGTTCTACATTCACAGACCAAAAATGGAGCTTAGAATAGAACACCATACCTACTGTGGAACATGGTTAAGTGTTGGGGCTGTTTTGCTGTGTCTGGAATGGGGTGCCCTAAATCGGTTTAGGGCACAATGAAATCTGAAGACTATCAAGGAATTCCAGAGCAAAACATACTGCCTGGTGTCAGGAAGTTCTTCTCAGTCACAGGTCATGGGATCCCCCAACGGGATAATGACCCAAAACACAGCTAAAAGTGTTGGTTATGTGTTTAGATGAAGCACTGAAATCTTGAGGATTGCTGAATTACGTTTTACTGGCTTAGAAGAATATTACATCTGAATAAAGCATTGTGAGGAAAACATATAGATAGAAAAAACAGCTTACTGTGTAACATAGAGAAGCATTAGGGATGCACCGATACCGATACTAGTATCGGTATCGGTGCCGATGCTGAGTATTTGGGCGAGTATTCATACTTCAGCTTCCGGTATCAGGAAGCCGGGCAGTGAGTCATTACAAGCGGCCCAGCTTCCTGATTGGCCCGGGAAACCGGCTCCATGCTCCCTCGAGGCTTCTTATTGGGACTTCCAGTATCGGGATTTGGTATCGCCGAGTACTGAAAAAATATATATCGGCATGTGTACTCGATACAGAAAAAACGGTATCGGTGCATCCCTAATAACCATGCACATAGAGAGTAAAATTGCACTACACTGCCATCTATAGTTCAGTATATGCTATTGTATTTCCAAGACAAAGTACCCAAGAACAGCTCAGAACAATACTTTGGACTGTTCAGTCTGGAGAAGGCACCATTCAATAACTGAGACTGGCCAAACTATCTGTTGGCAGGTGCAGCAGTCTAATTGAGAGCTCCAGAAATCGTTGTTTGCACTGATTGCCTCTAAAGGTTGTGCAACAAAGTATTAGGTTAAGGGTCCTGTCATTTTTGTTTTTGTTTACACCATTTTCGTGTGTTTTATTATTTAAAATATTCTGTTAAATCAAAAATGAAAAGCAAAGTCTGATTTTTATTAAATATACAATAAACAAAAATGGATGCCAATTACGTTAGTCAGTTTCAAGTTATTTCAGAGAAAATTGCTGGTTCTTCTTTTTTCATGGAAGGGTACCAACTAAATGTGCCCACTACTGTGTATAAACACGCATACAGACATACCAATGTTACTTTCTAGGATCCAGATACATACTTGCAGGTGAAAATTGCATTGCTTGTCAGCAGTTTCAAGGGAATGTCCAGTTTATTCATTCCTGGTGCGCTGAGGGTTAAATGTCCTCGGTCACAGGTGACCGTTATCAGCACCATGCGAGGCTCCTGTCTGGCTGTAACATGAACTTTGTCCTCCTTTACAACAAGCCAATGTCTGCAATGATAAGAGGGGCAGAAGAGGGGAGAAACAAGGAATGAAAAAGGGCAGGGGGGGAGGAAAAAAAGAGAGTGGGAGAGAAAGGGAGAGAGGGGGAGACAAAGAGAGAGGAGGGGGAAGAGAGAGAAAGGGAGAGAGGGGGAGAGGAAGAGAGAGCAGGGGGAAGAGAGAGAAGGGGAGAGAAAGGGAGAAGGGAGAGAGGGGGAGAGAAAGAGAGAGCAGGGGGAAGAGAGAGAAGGGGAGAGAAAGGGAGAAGGGAGAGAGGAAGAGAGAGCAGGGGGAAGAGAGAAAAGGGGAGAGAAAGAGAGAAGGGGGAAGAGAGAGAAGGGGAGAGAAAGAGAGAAGGGGAAGAGAAAAGGAGAGAGAAAGAGAGAAGGGAGAAGAGAGAAGGGGAGAGAAAGATAGAGAAGGGGAGAGAAAGAGAGAAGGGGCAGGAGAGAGAAAGGGAAAGAAGGGGTAAGAGGGGGAAGGAGGGAGAGAAAGGGGGGAAGAGAGAGAAGGGGAGAGAAAGAGAGGGAAGGGGGAAGAGAGAAAAGGGGAGAGAAAGACAGAAGGGGGAAGAGAGAGAAGGGGAGAGAAAAGGAGATAATGGGGAAGAGAGAGAAGGGGAGAGAGAAGGGGAGAGAGAAGGGGGAGAGAGAAGGGGAGAGAAAGAGAGTAGGGGGAAGAGCGAGAATGGGAAGAGAAGGGGAGAGAGAAGGGGAAGAGAGAGAAGAAGAGAGAGAAGGGGAGAGAAAGAGAGAGAAGGAAAAAGAAAAAGAGAGAAGGGGAAGAGAGAGAAGAGGAGAGAAGGGGAAGAGAGAGAAGAGGAGAGAAAGTGAGAGAAGGGGGAAGAGAGAAGTGGAGAGAAATAGAGAGAAGAGGGAGGGGAGAAGGGGAGAGAAAGAGAGAGAAGGGGGAAGAGAGAAGGGGAGATAAAAAGAGAGAAGGGGAGAGAAAGAGAGAGAAGGGGGAAGAAAGAGGGAGGGAGAAGAGAAAGAGAGAGAAGGGGAAGAAAGAGGGGGAGAGAAGAGGGAGGGAGGAGAGAAAGAGAGAGAGAAGGGGAAAGAAAAAGAGAGAAGGGGAAGAGAGAGAAGAGGAGAGAAGGGGAAGAGAGAGAAGGGGAGAGAAAGAGAGAGAAGGGGGAAGAGAGAAGGGGAGAGAAATAGAGAGAAGAGGGAAGAGAGAAGGGGAGAGAAAGAGAGAGAAGGGGGAAGAGAGAAGGGGAGAGAAAAAGAGAGAAGGTGAAGAGAGAAGGGGAAAGAGAGAGAAGGGGAAGAAAGAGGGAGGGAGAAGAGAAAGAGAGAGAAGGGGAAGAAAGAGGGGGAGAGAAGAGGGAGGGAGGAGAGAAAGAGAGAGGAGGGAGGAGAAAGAGAGAGAATGGAGAAGAAAGAGTGGGAGAGAAGCGGGAGGGAGGAGAGAAAGAGAGAGATGGGAGGAGAGAAAGAGAGAGGAGAGAGGAGAAAGAGAGAGAAGGGGGAAGAAAGAGGGGGAGAGAAGAGGGAGGGAGGAGAGAAAGAGAGAGGAGGGAGGAGAAAGAGAGAGTTGGGGGAAGATGGAGGGGTGAAGAAGGAGGAGAGAGAGGTCGTTTTACGTAATGTCATATGTTTTGAATTGTGTATTATTTTAGTCTATAGTTATAATTTTAAAAAATGCCACTCAATGGATGATAGTTGCACAGTGGGAACTTCTCTAAGGCCTTGTTCACACGGGATCAGGTGCCAGAGTTCTGCCTCACCTTCAAAAGCTCTTCCAGTGGGGGGTACATCAGAGGTTAATTTTTTTTTTATCTTACAAAATACTGAAGCCAAAAGATAAATTATGACAGCCAGGGCACTAGTATGTTCAGAAGGAAGTCAGCAGTGGCAGTGACTGGATTTCTCTTAGTACAGGGTCCCTTTAATGAAGCCCATAGGAATTTATGATAAGAGCATGTAATGCCGGCCAGCTGTAATGTTCCTATGTTGTATGCGTAAAGTGACCCTGTCCCTTTGGGTCCATCTCCTGGGTCCCCCACAGCTCTCATTGGTCTCTCCCGCTGACCTTCACCTCACTACAGGAGTCAGTGGTGATGGGAGGTCAGCAGGAGAAACCAATGAGATCTGTGGTGGGATCCAGGAGATTTCCCAGCAGACATCAGGGGGTGATTTCTCACCTGGAGACAAAGGCAGTTTTAAATGTCCTCTCTTTGTGTACAAGTCTAGCTTTGTTGGGTAACTTTTGTATAGCAGGCAGGTTTCTTTAAAGGAGAACTATGAGGTGAGTGCTTTTCACTCACCTCATAGTTCTAGCCGACCTGTGACAATGAGACTGTCACAGGTCGGCTCAGTAGATCGGGAGGTGAGCGAACACATACCGGCGTTCGCTCACCTCTCGATCCTGTCACGGCTCTCTGCCGTGACAGGGGAGGGGCTGGATTCCCCGCTCCGATCCTCAGGGCTGACTGGCAGCTGGCTCTGCCTCTAGATAGGAGCTACTGCACGCAGTATACTGAGCCTAGGGTGATGGTTGGACGCTAGTTTGTGTCCTCCCGTTACCCTAAGGAGAACTATGGGGAAAAGCCTTAACCGCATAGTTCTCCTTTAAAGAAAGCCATTGCTGACTTTTTACATTGCTGTCATGCTGGTCCTTTTTCTTCAATTGTGATGAGCTGATGCTAGAGGTGAAGCCAGTTCACCCAAGTCCGCCCAAAACTGTGACCAAAATACCTCCTCCTGGCCCATTCTGAAGCAGCAGTGCCATTCCCCGCCCCTTTTCGATATGTACCTGCAGGGCGGGAAATGCGCCTGCTTCAACTGATTGGGCCGGGTATGGAAGGGGGTGCCGGTCAGTTTTGTGCAAGCTTGGGCGAAGTCAGGCGGCCTGGAAAAGTATTGAGGTATTTTCAGGTCGCCTGGAAGGTATTGAGTCAGCATAATGGCCATGCAACTAGCATATTAAAAGGAGGGCAGCAATTATTTTCTCAATTTTGGATGTAGTAGGGAATGGTTGAAACCCGTTAGTTTTTTTCCTTTTGCATTGGGGAGATTTTCCTGTACTTCCTTTCCCAGAAACACAACAGGACGTGAGAGCAAATCTCTTCAAAAGTGAGGGAAGCCCCCCATTTAGACAGTTGTCATTGAAATAAGTGTCCCCATTGGAAGATTTCCCCTCTATTCCTATTCTGGTGATAACATTTTGGGATCTCCCATCACTTTCAGTGAATGATTGATTGCTGCAGTTTGCACACCACGTCTGAACTTTATAACTCATAACTTATTGTAAACGCCATATAATATATTGCATTGCCGTTCAATGAGTCATACCACACTCTGGTACCAAAATAAGTCTTCCTACCTGTCCCTGAGCTCTCCGTTCTTCAGTCCGTAGTCCCTGCACTCCGCTTCTTGCAGGGGGACCCCTTTACATGACTTCACAGGATAGAGGAACAGCTGGGAGACCTCCCCCACCTTCCGCACATGCTTCTTCTTCCCCCTGGACAGAAACAGCCAGGTGACGGCCATTGTGGCCCCCACCCCGGCCAGGCCAATCAGGAGGGTGCGGTGCTTCGAGAGAACTTCCATAGCTGTGTGTGTGTGACAGGCCTCCATTCCAGAGTTTATACCACAGCGCCTAGCTCAATGTTACAAAACAACTGGATCTGGCTCCCTTCCCAGCCGTGAGGACCCACCTCCTGTTTTGTTAACTGTTTCCCATACTTTTATTTAATACGAAGATACTGCTGGGGAACATCAACATTGTAACTTTTTTGACATGTACCAATCATATAAACTTTACAGATATAAATTAAAGATCTGCATAAAAAGAAGTTTACAGAGACCTGTCCTTGGGCCTCAGCAGCAATGCGTGGGTTCATGGACTCCTTGTGTGATCACTGGGAAATCTATTTATTGTTATCAGTTTTGTACATTACTTTTTCTTTATTTGTTATAGTCAGGACTACAAATAACATTTGCAAAGATGTTTTTTATTTAGTGTGGTCAATTTCGGACGAAATTTCGGAAATTCAGGGATTCGGATGTATTCGAATTACGAATCACAGATATAACGAATGCAAACGAATCCGAATTTCCGATTCGTTTTTTTTGGACAAACTTTAGTTTTTGGACGAAATTTCGTTGCAGCAAAGTGACATTTAAATGTCACTTTGCTGCAACGAACGAACAAAACGAAAATACATTTTGTACGGATTTCCGCTAACTTATTTCGTCCGTATCCGAATCCCAAAACGAATTGACTTTCGGACCCGAATTCCGAAAAAAGAAATAAAGCAAAATCCGAATCAAAACGAAACGAAACTATTTTTTTGCTGGTGCACATGTCTAATATGAATACGATGCAGTCTTTCACTCAGCCAGCAGGAGCTCTAAGCTCTTTTTCACATGCTTGAGGGCCCATTCACATTTCTACAGGCTATTATAAGGCGGCAATGTGTGTAATGTCACTCGGTAACGTGTGTTGCTTTAAAGGATGGGGTTAGGGCTTTTCCCCATAGTTCTCCTTAGGGTAACGGGAGGACACAAACTAGCGTCCTCCCATCACTCTAAGCTATACAGCACGCGGTATACTGAGACGCCGCAGCTGAAGCAGATCCCGACAATTATGTCTCGATCCGCCCAGCTGCGTTAGTGACAGATGGCTCTGCCTTTCTAGAGGCAGAGCCAGCTGTACCCGCCCCCTCCCCCGTCCGTTCCGCCAGTCAGCGCTGGCGGATCGGAGCGGGGAGGGGGGAATCCAGCCACTCCTCTGTCCCGACAGAGAGCTGTGACAGGATCGAGAAGTGAGCGAACACCGGTATGTGTTCACTCGCCTCCCGATCTACTGAGCCGACCTGTGACAGTCTCATTGTCACAGGTCGGCTAGAACTATGAGGTGAGTGAAATGCACTCACCTCATAGTTCTCCTTTAAGGCAGCCTATGCATTATGAATGGGCTAATTTTCATAATGCACAACGCATTGCTCGCTGCTATAATATTGTGTTGGGGTGTCTCTTAAAATGAATGGCACTACAATGCACTGTGGTACACAGTTTATGTGCATTATGGTAAAATGTGTGTTTTACAATGCATTACCATTACGGATGAATGTGAATCAGTCCATACTGTGTCTCCTAACCACAGTGCTGCAAAAAGTTGAGGTTTTTTTTTACAATGGCTCCATGAGATGAGTGACACCTCTCTGATCAGACAGCTTAGTCTGAGGATCCAGATGGGGCAAGATGTGGAAGTTAATGCTTCTGTACTGGCTGTTTACCTAACCCATAAGAGGGAATTTATCAAAATTGGAGCAAACAGAATCTGGAGCAGTTGCCCATGGCAACCAATCAGCTTCTGTCTTCAGTTTGCTCAGGTAAGATTTGAAAATGAGAGATGCTGATTGGTTGCAGTGCAAATCTGCTCCAGATTTTGTCTCCTCCAGTATCGATAGAGCCCCCCCATAGTGCTCTGGGAATCCTTTGCAATGTATTAAATGTAAAAATAACTGGGGATGCACCGATAACCGTTTTTTCGGTATCGCGTAGAAGTACCAATATTTATCTTGCGGTACTCGCCAAGTACTGATACCGGTACTTCCGCGAGCATGGAGCCGGCTTCCCGGCCAATCAGGAAGTCGGGCAGTGTGTTATTACTCACCACCCGGCTTCTTGATTGCCCAGGCCAGACAATCAACATCGAGCTGGCATCGCGACACTGCCAGACAGAGGAAATCTCTGGTATCTGGTATCTGAGGGTAAACATCAGAGCATTCTTGCCCAAATACTCGGTATTGGCCTCAATACCAGTATCGCTATCAGTGCATCCCTCAAAATATTCATTGGTGTGTGTATATATTTATATGTCAGAGCGTGGCCTGTGCACAGACACTGTCAGTGTGCCCTGAATGTGCAAGGGGACAGTGTACCTTTAAGTCTTCATTGACACGGCTATTATTCTTCACAGGTTGCCCTTTAAATAGTTTCAGACACAATTCCATTGTAAAGAACTTTATTTACAAGCAATGTACATCACCAAATCATACAATGTACAATAAACGTTGTTACCATGTTTACAGTCCTTTTGGCAAAAGCTGTTCTACAACACAAATATAAAAATACTGATTGGTTTCCGGTATTATTGGCTGACATATTAAACACTGAAGTAAGAGCCCATTCACACCTGTGTGTTGGGCAACGTGCGCTAAAACTACGCATTGGGAACACATCTGCTTTACATGCTGTGCTATTTATTGTGAATGGCGTCCCAAGGCACTATACAGTAGAATACAAGGTATCGTAAGGCACTATACACATACCGTGCGCTGTGGTGGGCTGCGCTTTTTTAAAATCTGTTTTTGGTGCATTGGCAGCCCGTTCATAGTGACTTAATGCAACACACATAAACATGTGCCATACTGCGTGATAACACATGTGCATTAATGCACCACAACAGAACGCTTTATTATGAATGAGCTCTCAAATGCAGCAAAAATGGAACATTCACCCACCATATAAAATCAAATTGTACCGGGCCTAATGGCCAGTGTGTCAACGAGGCCTTGTCCCCAGAACAGGGGTCCCCATTGAAGGATTTTCCCTCACAACTGTAAATGTAGCTTTTCCCACCACTCTCTAGCTCTGTAAGAGTTGTCACTAATGCTCGGTTCACATTGTGTTCTTTGCACATGCGGTATACTGTGTGTTAGGATGCACTGTGTGAAGGCAGCACATTCATTTGAATGGACTGCCTAGAGAACCAATCCGAACCAATAAAGGTGCATGTCATATCCACATATACAACCAGCACTAAATACTAAATATATGCTACAAATCAATACAAAGACTTTGCAACATTGAACTTATTATTTGTAGCATATATTTGTTATTTACCGCTGTTTATAAATGTGCATATCCTATTTTATATATTTTATCACAGCTGCTATTTATATTTTAAAGGTTTACAAATTTGTTGATTTATTGCATAGGGCAGTGATAGGGATAGGTGATATAACAAAGGTGCATGTATTTTTTTAGTGTAGCACAGCGTACCACAACGCATGGTAGTTGGCAAGGTGCCCTGGGGTACCATTAAGAATGAATAGAACCACAGCACACCAATGTGCCAACAACGTGAACCCATCTAAGACTCCCCCTAATAAAACAGTTACAACAATAACAACTGACTTTGTTCGTGTCTGCTGTACAGTATGGGGATTGTCTTGTATTTGGAAGGCGCTCTTTATCAATTCATCACTAAAAAATAATTCCTCAATTCATCAATTTAAAAAAAACAATTAAATGACATTAAAAATAAAAATAGGAATTAATATTCGTAAAGTAAACACTGTATCTGTACAACATTCCTCATCATTCTCGGTCACAGATTGTATTCTATTTTCCAACTTTCCAAAAATTCCATAAATCCGCGGGAACCTTTTTACATCATTGTTATTAATGTACTGAAGCCATAGAGGTATGGAGCCTCAGTACACTTTAAGGCCTCGTATAGATGGACAGCAAAATCAGGCGGTTGATCTGCGGTCTTGTTGTTCCTCAGCCACCCGCTATCATTGCCGGCAGACAGCGCTGTATACAGCAGCTGGTACTGCCAGCCAAATGTGACCATAGAGGGGGGTGGGATTGGGCCACAACTGGGTGTCAAGTGCTTATCACACATTTGTGGTGCAATGCCCCCTTGGGATCCCGAAAAATGGCATTCAGGCGGCAACAGTATCAGCTCGTAAATGCCAGGCAGCCACTGTTCCGCCGCCGTGTGAGAAGTGATCCACCACGGATAATTTTTCACAGACAGCCATCCGTCTAAACAAGGCCTAACAGGTTCACTTTTATCTCAATGGGAAGTCTTTAATGGAAGCTGCAATTGTCTAGCTAACATGATATGTACTAGTTCCAGGTCAGTAATCCTGAACAGGCATTCCAGCAGCTCAAGAACTAATATATAGCTGGAAAGTCAACAGCAGGTTCCATTTAAAGGCTTCTCAGATACCCATCTTCATGAGTCCTTATGATGATACAAGGATACATTTATTAAAGTAGATTTCCAGGATACCATGCTAATCAAGTCATCGAAACTCCAACCCATGGCAGATAAATATTAAAAATCCACCACTGGCCTCTTTCTTACACTTACGTCTAACCCTCTTCAACATGCAAAAGCCTTCTGATCACTGACTGGATTGTGGGGGAATTACCCCCCACCTTTCTTCACTGAGTCTATTTACACTTCTGAACTTGAAACATTTTCTAGCATTGATATCTGCATTCATTAAGAGCATGTTCCGAGGCTCTTTATCTGCTTTAATGTGTGTTTTCCAGAAGAAAACCATTCTATGGAATATAATGGTGCAGAACCCTCCATGCACTTAAAGCTGAACTACAGGGAACAAAAAAAAAAAAGACCCCCGCCGCACTGCAAGAGTTAAATGTTCATTTCTGCCCAGGGTATCAGTTTTACTTACCTTACCCCCAGCTTCTGCAGGCTGCTACTTCCACACAACCAATCCCCTCCTCTTCTCTTCTGTTCCCCAGCTGGTGGTCACAGATGTGATGCCACAATTTACAATACTGGATCAATAGTCCTGCATTGTAATTGTGGACGACAAGGGCCGGCCTACAACCTGGAATGTCAGAGAGAAGAGTTGAGCGCCAGCTGCCGGGGAAGCGAGGGATAAGGTGAGTAAAAGTTCTTTCTGATACCCTAGGCAAAAAATGAGCATCTAACCCTTGCTATATAGGGTACATCCCACTGCAAGGGTAATTTTTTTTTTGTTCCCCCTGTTAAAAGATATCTTTATTTAAAAAAAAGAAACACTCTGAAATTGCATGTTAAGAAATGTGCATGCATACTTGCAAATCCGTGTCACCGTTTGCATTGTTCATATTTCAAATTATCTACATCTTCTTTAGTCTGTTCATCAGCATTAGCGGAAGATGAGGAAGGGGTGTTACAATCTGAAGGAAGTGATGTAATAGGACAGTTCTATCCCCACCCTAATCTTCCATTTTTTTCTGCTCTTTTATCAGCCACTTGTTACACAAAATGCAGCTGTCAATCAAAGAAGACGGAAGAACACAGGGTAGAACTAAGAGGAGCCACATTGTTCTGTGCAGGTATGTCCTCTGCCCCTTATGCAAATATAAGAGCATAATGACATACTATGAGGGAGGTGTGGAATGCCTATGACCTCTGATCTGTGCAGCCTGCAGAGATGAAGCCAAGAGGTCATAGTGAATCTCAGGTCCGGCGCTATGCTATGCATGGAAGACCTTGTGGAAAGGCCACATGAACCTGTTTTAGAATTGCCGTAACACTAGAAAAGTGTTGCAAATTATCCCCCTCCCCCACAGCTTTTTAAGTATGCATGCACTATTTTTAATGTGCAATTGTAGAGTGTTTGCATTAAAAAAAAACTTTAATTGCCTTGCAGAAAATCGTGTCTAAAAAGCAGAAGTGTAAATGGGCCCCTAAAATACTTAATTTTACCAGCAAAATCCAACAATATGCATTGAGGGGAATTCAACAAAACTGGAGCAGACAGACTCTGGAGCAGTTGTGCATGGCAACCAATCAGGTTCTCTCTTCAGCTTCTTCAGTTACACTTTGAAAATGAAAAATATAAGCTGATTGGTTCATATGCACAGCTGCTCCAGATACCGTCTGCTCCAGTTTTGATAAATTCCCCCCATTGTGCCTTAAACCAGAAACGTGTCACCATTCATCATAGCAGCCAAATTCTTCATTCTAATTTCCTAAACTCCTTACACAGCCAGTAAACCTCAAATACACAGAGATCATTGTAGAGAATGTTACTGATCTGGCCTCCAGAATACAGAGCACACTGGGAGTCCCAATGGGTCAATGGTCATGCTCTTACTCAACTTTCAACCCTTTCTATTGGTTGGTGAGGCAACTCATCACATATACTTATTTCATAAAGCATTCTTATTCATAAGTCCAATAACCCAAAGTGACCAATCTGAATTCTGAAGAGGTCAGGCCAGCACCAGTTGGATTCTGATTGGTACTTGTTGGCAATTCTCCTTAAAGTGTATGTAAAGGCAAAATTGTATTATTTTTTTTTAGCTTTGGATAGCCTAAGGAAGAACTAGATCCCCTGTCAACATTTCATTGCTGCCTGGCTTCCTGTTGGGGAGATACACCACTCTATCGGTCCTCTTGACTACGGTCGGCAAAAGTGGAAATCCAAAATTTTAGAGCTGTCACCAGAACAAGAGGAGAGGGGAAATCTTCTAAGAGGGACACATGTTCAGGTGACAACTGTCTAAGATGGGCAATTTCCTTAGTTTGGGGAGATTTCTTCTAATTTCCTGTTCCTGAGGACAGGAAGTGATGGTAAATCAGGTTTTAGCCCCTCCTTATTCTATCCAAAAAGTACACAAAAAAAGTGTGAGCTATACATCTAAAATATACACTATACTCTGAAATGTCAAAACTACCGACAGAGAAGGGTTCTCTTCCCCTTCCCACACTGCAGGGTTAAATGCTTGGTTTTGTTTAGGGTATAATTTAAATTCAGTTTTACTTACCTTACCCATCACTCCCGCAGGCTCCCTCCTCTCTGGGTGACCAGTCCTTTGAAGCCGCTCTATCAGACACGCTCTGACGTCATTCTGTACAATGCAGGATCAGCAGTCCCACATTATAAGTCCCCGAGGGCCCTCCAACAACCCAGAGTGTCAGAGAGAAGAGGAGATCACTGGCTGCTGGGTAAATGAGGGATACAGCAAGTAAAACTGCTTTTTTAATGTTCCCCTAGCCAAAAATTAGCATTTACCCCTTGCAGTGTGGGAGGAGCCCCACTAGAAGGGTAGTTTTGAAAGTCCCGCAGAGTTCAGCTTTAAGAATTAGCACGTCAGAAAAAGAAATTCATTATTACATTAGAGTCTTCAAAACATTACATTAGCAGTCAACAGGAAGTTGGGCAGACCGTGAGCCTCTGAGCTCTAATCACATTTTGGGGCTCCTGCCAGTGCCTGTTCTATGATCCTTGGAGCTGTATGTCTACAGAGTCCTCACATAGACTTTAGGGCCAGTAAACAATAGCATCTTTGCTCAATACTGTTATATAATTACCCGAGGGCCTAATGCCACACGGTAAAAGCACTTAAAAGTGTGCTTAAGGCACCCAAAAGTAGCATTTTATTCAATAATATCATTTTAGCATGACTAAAGAGTTAGTTAGCATGCCTTCAGTGCAATTGTAAATGGAGAATCAGGGCAGTAGGCTTTCACCGCTAACATCACTGTGTGAATACTGGATGCCTGGTTGTCATGCTGACCCTCTGGCAGAAGAACATTTTGGGCCGCTGGCTTGAATAAGAGTACAGCTAGTAAATACTTGTCCTGACGCAGAAATGTATTGACGCTAAAGGATCAACATGACTGAAGGCTACATGGTCAGCATTGGCTTGCACATATTTCTATAAGCCACAAAGGTGTAAATTATCAGTGTTAAAATGTGCCCTCTCGGCATCTTCATCAGTGAGTCAGTCTTCAAATAAGATAAAAGGTCACCAGGCGTATTTGCCATGGCACAGCAAAGTCCATTGGCTGCTTGCCTCGTGCAGGGTGCAGTAATGGCCAGAAATGAACTTAGCAGTTCTGGCTCTACGGGCTGGGATGGATCAACGCGACATAATCCCATATACAGTATACATGACTAGTTGAATGAATTAGCTTCATTGCACAAGGGGCAAGTTTTAGGTCCAAGTGGCCACCATTGAGAGACACCCGACCTCATAACTCTTAAATGGGTCAATCCACCCACAACAGATAATTCAGTGTCTACTCAATGCTGGTTCACCACCTGACACTCTCTTGGACTCTATCCCTCATTGGTGAGATCTATGGCCTTAATTCCAAGGGCTGGACGGCTGTTGTGGCCATTATGAGGAGCTCTCACTGTCCCTGTTGGACTTTTTATTTTATTTCATATTATGAAGAGTGCAAAAGGAGGGCAGAACACCCAAAGCCTGCAGGAAGACAGGAACAGTGTCGGGAGTTATGGCAGGGAGACCTCATTCTTGAATTGTCCAAGCCATATAGGAAGCCAAGGACTGACTTGGACCATGGGGCCTTATTTATAACCAAATAATTACTTTTGGCTGGACTGACCCTTTAAGTCCAATTAATCAGAATTGATTATACTGAATGAGGCTGCATGGCCCATCCCATGCCTTGCTTCACTGAATAATCCAGCATGTTGAGTAAAGCTGCATGGCAGACGTCTTCGGTTGGAATGCAGTGGAGTGTGCTGGGATTATTCTGTAAAACACAACTAGAAGCTCAAGTTCTAATTCTGCCACAAGAACACGCCAGAGTTCTGCTTGAAGCTCCGCAGGGTTTACCAGGAGATGATGGATCTTCTCACATGGAAGCATTCCTTCCAAACTTCACAGGACGGTTTTAGATTGGATGATCAGAGAAGTCATCACTGAGGTTCCCAGTCCTTTGGCGTCCATCTTGTGGGGGAAATGTCTTTATCTGAAGGCAGGTTTGAAATGTTTGGACTCAAAGGATTGGATCAGGTTAGCGGGACACGTTGGTGAGCACCACCGTAGAGACACCAAACGGAGCTATGTAGGCACTTGCCAGTCCCTGGATACCAATCAACAAGTAGCGGCAGCCAGTCCGTACAGCCTTGCCAACATTCTACAGGAGAATAAAGACAAAAAAACACAGATAGAAATGAAAATACTATGAAACTGACGGCGATAATCCAGACATGAACAGAATTACGGAAAATCACTTTTATCAACATTGAAAGAAAAATGTACTTTGAGATCTCGGCAGCGGCAGAATCATCAATAGGAAACTGCTGTTGGAAAGTAATTTCCTTGCTGGCCGAAACCGCTACGGAGCGACACCTCACTGGCTGCAGCAATAAGGGGGAAATGCTATACAACAGGGGTAGCCAAACTGCGGCCCTCCAGCTGTGGTGCACCTACAAATCCCATCACGCATCTGCCTCTGGAAGTCATGTCTGTGGCTGTCAGAGATTTGCAATGTAATGGGATTTGTAGTTCCACAACAGCTGGAAAGCAGAAGTTTGGCTACCCCTGCTCCACAGGAAACGTCAAAGTCACTAGTGAGGGGTAGACACAAGTAAAGTCTCCACCCAATAACCAAAGGGGTGACGTATTTCAACTTTAATGGGTAAGCATCCTTATTACAGATGTAAAAATGAGGAGCTGTCATATAGACATGGTGCCCACCCTCCAACTCAAAGGCCTTGGTGCTTGCCATGCAGCCCCTTGGACTAGGGTTGCCACCTGTCCAGTGTTTGCAGCCAGCTGACACCCGGACACAAGACACTAAGTGCCGACACCAATACTTAAAATTTTTTGACAGATGCGGCTGCCAAGTCCGCAGCAAGTGCAGAGAGTATGCATAGCCCACCTGAGAGCCTGCACAACCCACCTAAGAGCCCGCACAACCCACCTGAGAGCCCGCACAACCCACCTGAGAGCCCGACCAGCCCACCTGAGAGCCCGCACAGCCCACCTGAGAGTCTGCACAACCCACCTGAGAGCCCGACCAGCCCACCTGAGAGCCCGCACAGCCCACCTGAGAGTCTGCACAACCCACCTGAGAGCCCGACCAGCCCACCTGAGAGCCCGCACAGCCCACCTGAGAGTCTGCACAACCCACCTGAGAGCCCGACCAGCCCACCTGAGAGCCCGCACAACCCACCTGAGAGCCCGCACAGCCCACCTAGGAGCCTGCACAGCCCACCTGAGAGTCCACAGTGCCAACCAAAGAGCTTGCATAGCCCACTTGAGAGTCCGCATAGCCCACCTGAGAGTCCGCATAGCCCACCTGAAAGTCCACAGAGCTCACCTGAGAGCTTGCACAGCCCACCTGAGAGCCCGCACTGCTCACCCAAGACCCTGGAGACATCAGGGTGCCACCCCAGAACAACACAGAGTATGTAGCTTCATATTATTTTGTCTTGTCTAATGTATTGCTGGGATTTGTAGTCCTCTATAGAAGGTTTCCATACTCCCTCCCCTGGCTGTCTCCTCTTGCTCTTTCTCCTGGCTGCCTCTCCTCACTCTCTCCTCTATATTCTGTTTGGATTTCACTTGAAGAAAAGGTGGCAACCCTTGGACACCAGCAGTCACCAGTATGAGTGTTGATTTTGTAAAGGTGCTGTTATAGCGGTGATCTCTAGCAGTCTCATGTAGTATGTCCCCGGTCTATAACAGTGTCCTCCAGTATAGCAAAACATATTTTATGTAGTAGGGAAGGGATAGAGACTCTGACAGGTTATTACACTGTTACTTGTGTTTCCATTTGAAAGATTTCCCCTTCCAGTTTTGGTGATGGGAATCTCTTTAGTGAGAACACAGACAGCAATAAAAACCTGACCAATGTCCCAATGCTTCTCTATTCTTTAAAAATGGTTTGGCTGGTGTTGGACTTTAACAAAATGGCTGCCTGCCAGCAATGAACTTTTATACGGTACTAAAGAGGTAATAAAGCGGTAATAAAGCGGTAATGAAGGAGATTACCCTGAGCTATAAATTATTTAGTGAAAGCGATGACACAAAACAGATTTGCAGAACGTAACCTTTCAGCTAAAAATATAAAACGTCATCATTTCAGTCAGTGTCAGCATACACAACGCACGTAGATACCCATAGACGTCAGATGAGTTGTCAGATCTGATCCTTCTCCAGCCTGGTTGGCTGACAACACAGTTCAGGGTGACACCCACCGGCCAACTTCTCGCAGGTTAGACAGTCCATAGGATAGGAAATCCTGCTTCAACAGGAATCTATTTATAAACAATTCACAGAGCCATTCACCCTGCAAAACTCGGTGAACGTTCGTTCTGTGTGAATAGAGGCAAAAAGGAACGTTCTTCGTATATTTTCTTCTCAGGTTGAATGTAATGCATTCTAGGCTAATAAATACTTCTTTCCTAAGCTCCCCTGCGCCATATAGTGGCCATAAAGCAGTATTACATTATATTACATGGAACCTAAAAAGTATATATATTAACCGCTTAAACCCCCTTCCTGGCCAGGCCATTTTTAAGTATTCAGGGCTGCGGTACTTTGACTGACATTTATTCCGCTATGCAACGCTGTACTGAAATGAATTTTACATATTTGGTAAAATATAAAAGACGGGGTCCCGTCGGGTAAATAGACACCAAACATGTCAAGCCTTAAAATAGCACACGCCTGCAAAATCCCAAACAATGACTATAGCCAAAATTGGTTTAGTGTTATTAGTGATTGATTGCCCTAAAATTATTGCTCACACTCCGACGTTTGTGGTGATATGTAGCATGTGCGGAGCAAGGGGTGCAATCGTCATTTTCGCACGCATGTTTGTGTGTGTATATGGGGGTGGGGGACTTTAAAAAAAAAATTGGTGTTGTTCACATTTTTTTTTAGATGTGACTATTTTTTTTATGTTACTTTCATTTTTTGTAATTCTTTTTTTTTTTTTACACTTAACTTTATTGCTATCACATAGCGGGATAAGAAGCCATCTATGTGATAGCAAAGAGGATGCAACAGGTCCTCTTTATGGAGACATCAGGGAAGCGATTCCGGTGGCTGAAAAGTCGCCGGATCACTTCCAGGAGCCAGTAAATTGAGGTCCGACACCCCCACGGCTTGTTTACTGGGCTCTGCTGCCCCTCCTGCGGGCTTAGGACCTGCTTCTCTGGTGTCTGCGGGAAGCAGGGAGAGAGACCAGCGAACATCTGTGCGCTGATCTCCTCTCTGCTGAATGAAAGTGAATCAATGCATTCATTGCATCACTTCTGGCTTCTCAGCTGTCATTCCCCGGCTAGAGAAGTCGGGGAAGAAGCTGTTCAAGCCCAATCTGTACTTCATCAGCTTCTTTGAAGTGCAAAGGTGACATCAGGGGTCTAATAGAACCTGCCACCTCCAATGTGCTATCACATAGGAAGCTTGTGAGCTCCTCTATGTGATAGCAATAAAGTTAAGTTTAAAAAAAAGTTTAACAAAGTAAAAGTAAATAAAATAAATTTAAAAACACCCCAAACATTTTTTTAAGTCCCCCGTCCCCGTGAACGCTCACATCGGGTGAACCTACGTACGAAAACGACAATTGCTCCACACATGTTAGGTATCGCCGCGTGCGCCAGTGAGTGAGAGCAATAATTTGAGGTCCAATATTCACAGTGAATTCTAAACTTATGTCCTGTACAGGATTATAAAGCGTCGCCTATGGACAATTTGGGGTACCGTATTATGTTGCCGTTTCATTTGTAACCTGGGCATGTTGGGTATCTATTTACTCGGCATAACTTCATCTTTTATGTTTTACTTAAAAATAATTGGGTATTATTTTGTGTTTCGGGTACTAAAACGAACAAGTGTTTTTTTTACTGAAATTTTGGGTTTGATAAAGAGTTGTGCTAATATTATGTGACATAAAAATGTGCCCCTGCCGCCATTTTATTCTACAGGGTCTGTTCTTTCTTGTGGGGTTAAGTCATTTTCAAGCTGAAAAATGTGTATTATAACATGTGTGTAAAAACGCAAAAGCGGCTTTGGCAGCGAAAGGGTTAACCATTCTCTACTCTATGCTCTACTCTAAAAAAAAAGTTAACAAAAAAAAAAAAATTACTTGAATCAATTGATGAGAATGAGGGAATGTGGGTAGAGTTGTGCTTTAAGGTCCCATAGACAGAATGACGGTAGGTGGAATATGTTAATATTGCAGATATAGGAAGCGTGAATCACATGGCTGTCACATGTACCTGCACTTCAGGAATCCCAAAGCCATGACAAGGCACGGTGCGACAGCATGCTCACGCTGCATTTCCCACGTGACTCGGGAGCCCCCC